AAGCCTGAGGCCCACAGATTGGGTAAAACCATGGTTTGGGTTGAATGGCACATAAATAACTTTCCATAAGTGTTTGAAAAAAGTATCAAACTATTCTCCGTATAGAGATTCATCCAGCAGATAGCATTATCCATCCTTTGAACAACCTGGGTCAGGTTTCTCTAAAGGGATTTGAGATTGAATTGTTTTGCACAAGAACACAACACAGTGATCAGACCACTTAATCCTCAATTCAGCACTTTAACAGGCCTCTAAAGCTGTACTGTTTTCATTCAAGATGGGGGTTCCAAAAGTTTTAAAAGTTACACAAATTATGTGTCAGAACTTTATTCTATGCTTCTTTATTCTTAAAATTTTGATTTTAAAATGTAGCTTTGGGGCCATTAAGTTAGTGGGACTTCACATTGTATGTGCTAGATAGTGATTCATCTGTTAGTTGGTGTTACCTGCCCATTTGACAAATGAGCTCAAGGTATCCCATCTCTAACTCAAACAAAGTACAGTCTTACATGTCTATATACAATACTATTAACACCAACTAAGACAGAGTGTGCTTTACCTCTCCCCAAAAGCCATCTGTGATAGAACCATGCACTCTGATCATAGGGGTCAGTGAAATATGCATTTTGAGCAAGATCAAATTCTGAAACAGAACATGACAATAGTAACGGTACTGTTTGAAAATCATTCTTTAACAGCTAAATTAAAATTAATACTGATTAAAAGTTTTACACATTTGTTTGCAAAGAACACCCTAGCTAATATTTCAGAGGATAGATAATGCTCTTTATTATCCAACTACACTTTGTAGAGTACAAATAATGCAACAGACGAGTACAAATATCCCGCGGTATTTGTACTCTAGAGTACCAGTTAAACAAGTTTTCTCGCATTGCGCAAGTGAAGAATTGAATTGTAGTTACGAAAAATAAAAATGGCGGAGAATTTGAATCATATTTCCGGCGACGAAGAGTCAGAATGGCTGGCAAATATACATCCAAGTTTATTAGATGAATTGAGTGAAGAAAAACAGTTAGACAATCTGGAAATTTCTTCATTTATTGAAGAAAATAGAAACAGCATGACAACGTGCCAATTCCGTTCCACTTCGCATACTTCTGTCACACACTCCCCGTAAATAAATATCTGCGAAATTTGCCTGCACTGAAATAACAGTTTGGTGTGTGGGATAATAACTAACTTATTAGACTTTTTTTTGTGTAGTATCGCTGAGTATTTTTACTCGTTATTTGTATTTTGACTCGCCCTACGGGCTTGTCAAAATATGGCACAACTCGTAAAAATACTCAGTGATACTACCCAACAAAACATCTAATAAGATATCTGTATGCCACATTATTCTGTGTAGCAATAGTACGCCATAGCAAGTATGTTTTATCAGTGTAGTTACACCAACATTTGATTTAAGTGCCTGTCTAGAACACGTACAAAGTAAACTTGCCATTTGCCTGATGCTGTTGAGAAGTGAGTTGAGATTTAACTGTACACTTTACAACAATGTATTTACTGGATTTCAAAAGGTTGAAATCTATTGTTTCAGTTCTGTCCTCTTCTTGGTTTCCAATTCATTTGCCTGGGTGGCCTGGATTCCATTCAATGCATTGTAAGTTACTTCCTTCTGAGTTTGACAGTAAATTAGTTAATATATAGTACCAAAATAAAGTTGACAGTCCCTCGAACCTGGATCCTCGATTCTCCATAGTTTCAAGTATTGAGGATGAAGAATTAAGTCAAGACTATCACCTTACTTTTGAGTGGAACTAACCTTTCATGAGTGCTCCCTCTTCCACTCTCTCACTGCCTCCACTCTGATCAGGATGAATCAATGGAAGAAGTTTGCTACGGTAATGCCATGAGGAATAATTAGAAAAATTCTCCTTGATCTTCTCGGTGCTAAAGTTGAATTCATCCATGGGAGATACATTTGCTTTCTGTACTGTGTATCGTCTGTAATCCCAACAGTGAACTGGGTAAAATGAATGTAATGGCTTGGTAAAATTGATTACTAGATGATACTAATGTTAGAATTCCTATGGAACTACAAGTACCATGAAAGAAGCTAATGGGATCTATAACTCTATCATCCCATCAGAGACCAGACAGAAGGATAATAAGAGTTTAAAAGCAGTCTGGTACAAAATATTCTTTCAATTTAACAACAAAATCCCAATTATAACTAATAATGAAAGTAATAATGTCATCAATTGGGAGAATCAACTTTTGATTTCAGGAGATATAGAGCTAACTTATCTTCCAGAGTAACACAAAAATAACTTGGAAGTTTGTGGAATCACCAAAAGATTATATGAACAATTAATCCATACAGGACAGAACCATCTCATGGATTTTTATTTTTTGGTTCATCTTGTTTAGTGTTAAGGCTTTGTATAAAGTAAAAGGAGTACATCAATCACAATACAATCATAAAGTATACAACCATCAGTACACAACCATTAGAGACCAGAAAAAGGCTATAAAAAAAAAAAAAACAGATTAAAAGGTGAGAGAATTTTTCAGGCATACAATCATGTTTGCCAGTATGGTTGATAAAATCTTGGTTATGAACTTACAGTTTCTTTCATCATATGATAGAAACTTGTTGCAAAGTTGTAATTCTTCCTTCCAGTTTGGCTGAGGCATGAATTCCATGATCCATTGTCTGTGGTACCAGACACCATATGATTTTGGGTTCACCTGGAGACAGTTCTTGAGGAAAAACAACTCCTTCTGGCAAAGGTCTTGTATCTCTTCTGGTGGACTTCAAAATTAATCAATATTACATTCATCAGATAATTAAACAACGATTTTCTATTAGCAGTCAGTAGTCAGGTGGCTTTCCTGTCAAGTCACTCAGTATGTTAATTATCACTGCCTACCTTTCATCTTTCTTATGCAGGAAAACCTCTCTCCTGAAGTTCCACAGAGTTGAAAAGTCTGGGTTAGCTGCAAGGACCTGTTCAGACAAAGACAGAGATTCTTTGTCCATTTCTCCATTCTTTCTCTGGAACAAAACAAAAGTAGAAAAATAATGAATACAATTCTTTGTTTGCTGATTTGTATTGTTTGTATTTTATATATGATAGCTCATTACTCTTTGTGGTAACTACAGACTAAACATGTTTGTATTGCATTAACTCCTTGTGTAACAAAGACACTTTTATATACTGTGATAGGGATATATGCCATAAACAAACTTCTGGTCTTTCACTGTTTATTCTTTATTCATGTCAAAGTAGCTAGCATTAGAAAAAGAAAAAAAACAAGTAGGAGGTAAAAATTGATAATACAGTCGACAATAAAAACTTGCGACAAAACAATGCTTGATAACATTGTTATCAAGCAACGTTTTGTTCTCAAGCAACATTTTGTCGCAAGTTTTCATCGTGAAATGTTATTCCAAGTCTCTTCTTCTAAATAATACAGTTGAACCTCGATTATCCGGACTCTTTGGGACCTTGGAAACTCGATTATCTGCTCCCGTTGGGACCTTTCTATCTCATAAATATTCATTTTTATGAGATAGAAATGTAAACAAAAGGTATACAGCAAAGAAAACATTTTAATTGTGAAATCTATACAGCCTGTATGTATTTACAAATAAAAACTTTCAGTTCAGGTATTTACAAAGGTCTAAAATGTTCAAGCATGTTTGTTTGTATGATGCACGATCCTCGCAGTAGAGAGCGCTATTTATGCAATAGCGAAAATCAGACCTGAAAAAAATCAGGCCTGTACAGGATTGGAACCACTGACCTCTGCAATACTAGTGCAGCGCTCTACCAATGTTTGTTTGCTTCAAAGACTTGTAGCTTGATCGTATTAGAAAGTTCATCACTCGTCTTAGCTACATTTTGAAACATTGCGCTGCCCCTTTAGTCGATAATAGTTTCTCGTCCTCGCCCTCATCTTCCTCATCACTACAAACACTTTTGCTTTCCGTCGAATCTCTTACAAAGGTGGCTAAAATCTCTTCATCAGACATTTGCGGTGAATTCAGGAGCTCGTTTTCCAGATTAAGCCAGTCTTCCACATTGCGAGTATTACACATTTCCTCATTATCAAGTTGCTGTACATGTTCAAACATTTTGACCACGGACTTGGCGATATTATCCTCTCTGAATTTGAGGTGTGAATTTGACCCGCTGTTGTCCAAATTTTGAAAAGTGCACAGAATAATATGCTGTTTCAACAGTCTTTTGAAAGTATTATTGGGCTTTTTGTGACTTTGAGTTTTCACAATCACAACTAATTAATATTCATGAAAAAATTGGGACCAAAGAAAAAAGTCCAGATAATCGAGGTCCCGATAATTGAGGTTCAACTGTACAGCATGTGTTAAGGTCCTCTACTTTAACCATTTGCATGACGATATAGTGTTAGAAGTACACAGTGTTATATCATTAGTAGTATTTATTATATAGTGTTAAAAGCAAGCAGCTAGTGTTAGATCAAAAGTAGTATTTATCACATATGCATTTGCAGGTCCTAGTTTTAACAGTCTTTTCCAACTTGTAATCAGCCAGCGAACAAGAGAATTAAATTGAGTTTTTTTTAACACAATCTCGTCGTTACAATTTGAAGTAAATGTTAATTTTTATATCCAGAGAAGATCTAAGGGACCTAACATTATTTACAGGGAGGGGGATCTGATAGAAATGAGGGGGGGACCAGAAATTTGTGTACACATAAAAACGGGAGACCAAATAAAATTCTGCAATACATATTAATACCAGCAAAATTGAATTTTTATGTTTTAATTGGAGACTGATAAACAAAAGACTCAATCTTAATCTAAACAAACGGTTGACAATTGAAAGTCGAAT